CCCCCTGTCACGGCAGAGAGCCGTGACAGGATCGAGAGGCGAGCGAACCGGTATGTGTTCGCTCACCTCCCGATCTACTGAGCCGACCTGTGACAGTCTCATTGTCACAGGTCGGCTAGAACTATGAGGTGAGTGAAAAGCACTCACCTCATAGTTCTCCTTTAATGCCTATGATGCCCCACCTTCATGGCTGAACATGGAATTATTGTTTGCTTTTGTCATAATTCATTCTACCATTTCAGAAGAAGGCACACAGATATGTTTCACAATTATTGATACTTTATATGGATATATGCATTGATGTGTGTGTTACTTACTCTCTCCTTCACTGTTCTGTAAGATAGAAAAACTCAGGCTTGCTGTGTCCAATTCACTTTGTTCCAGCTTGAAGCTGAAAGTTTCATTGTACACAGGATTTGGAGTCCCAAGTACTACTGCTGTCTTCTTACTCTTAATAAACCTGTTGTGATTCATGAGTGACACCTTAACAAGTGCTGAGCCTAGAAGACAAGAATATTGTGATAATATAGATATAGTTAGGCTGATATATAATGTAACAATCTGGATAAATAAAATGTATAAATTGATTTATTACTTAATTAGAGGGGTGTTTAATATGTTCCAGGCCCAGTTGGCCATTGATGAGAGAACACATGACCCATTCCAGTAGCAATTTCCGGTTGATAATGTACACATTCACCATAAATAATCCACAGTAGGTGTAGAGGCACTCACGGGTCTTGCAGTGGAGATAAGTCAAAGCATCAGCATTTTATTGTCAACGTTCTATCTTGTTTAAAACATTAATTCTTGCTTCAACCTGACTCAGTTAGGTTGTTCATTATAGTCTCCTCTCTAACGATGTATTACAGGACCACATGTAGTATTATCTGTTACATATGTTGATCACCTGTATTCGCAGTGATGTGTATAATGCATGTTCCCTTAGTTATGTCTACTGGCCCATGTCTGTAAAAGCCCTAATAAAAACTTTGAAAAAGAAAACATAAATTCACCACAATATTTGGTCTGCTTACACTTTTACCCTGATCCACCAGAGACTAAGGACACTCCTTTAGGCCTGGTTCACACCTGGGCATTTTACAGCGCGTTCCTACGCGCTGTAAAACGCTCAACATGCGGAAACCAATGATTGCCTATGGGCATGGTTCCCACCTGGGCGTTTTACAGCGCATAGGAACGCGCTGCAAAATGCCCTACGCCCAAAGAAGTACAGGAGCTTCTTTGGCGGCGTATTTGCGGCGCGTATCCATTAGGATACAGCCGGATAGCCCTCGGAAACGCGCGTTTGTCGCGCGTTTCTTTTACTGCAAATCGCGGTAAAAATGCACAGCAAACGCGCATATTCTGTATGCCTAGGTGTGAACCCAGCCTTATTGATCAGGTGTGAGAGAAAACCCAAACAAAGCCCAAACTGCAGGGAGCCACACAGTCTACCTGATATGTTACAAAAGCCACGGTGATAAACACACCCCATCCTGGACTCTGCCCTTGACTCTATGGTGATTTATCACTACACTTTACAACAGAGCAGTGGTATGTCAGGAAGACAATGTACCCATATGTACGTTGCAATGCAAGGCCAAATGTTTAGGGTCATTGCAAGCTGCTTCCATGTGCACCAATGTTTGTGCAATTCACAAAAGGCACACACTCCAAATTCTAGCCTTGGTGCCAGAAGGTGCATTTAAGGGGCAGAACCGAGTTAGGAATTTGCTTAGATGGTCTTTGGCTCTTCTTCTGTAACCAGAACCTGTTTCTAAGATATATTTAACAGTTGCTGACCCGACCTGCCCCTGTAATTGTCTCTAATTTCCCTTCCCATTCTTACCTTCGAACTTGCTTACACTTTGCTTATTTATTGCTCAGCTGGCTTGTCCTTAACCTTGTTTTCATTTGCCTGCCTGTTGCATACCTGGCCTGTCTTGGATCCATTTCTGCCTTCCCTTACTGGTGCTGACCCAGCTGGTTTCTGATCATGGCTTCTCTCTGCTGATTCCCCAGTGTAACTTTGGCCTGCCTCCTACCCTACTTGCTGTCTTCAAACTCTACAAACAAATATACAAACTTTACAGTTGCCGACCTCTGCTTTTCTGAGATTATGGTTTCAGCCTGCCAGCCGCTGTCCCAGGAGTACTCTGTAGTGACTCTTCCTGTGGCCCTGCTCCTTGGAGACACCCTCACCTTGCTGTTTGGTGATATCCTCATTTGTCTGTGCCTTCTCATCACCTGTTTTCCAATTCAAGGGTGATTGGACTAGAGGAGTAATGAAAGTCCTCTCATCACATCGACCTCTAGCCAGGTATGTTGTATGGTTCAAAAAAAGCCTACATGAGCCAATCAGAAACCGCTTGTGATGCCATGACTTACTCCTTGTTAGTATTTTTTGTTTAATATGTGTTTATTAATTATTATTAAAAGAGGTCTTATACAGGACATAAAAATGTGAAAAAAATTAAATAAAATAGTTTCCATCAATTTCTAAAGCAATCCTTCCAAGTAATACCATCTATAAAACATGAATCCCTTATAATTTCTACATAATCATATAGTGCCTATTCATGCCTTACAATACTTCTATACCTCCAAGCATCTGGTATGTGTAGGGATAAAACTCATTCAATAAATACAGCTTTTATATATTATTTTTAAAAAAGGGTGAAAAAGAAGGAAAAAGTTCAAGAAAATTATATTTAATTCCA